AATAAAGAAATAACTGCTTAACATTCCAATCAAATATATTCTCTAGATGTAAACAAATTAAGGACTCTAAGGATTGCAAAGCAGCACACAACTTTCAAAGAAATCTCAGTCTTAAAACATCCATAGCAACATGAACATTAAAACAAAATACAATAGGCAGTCCAGAAATATACCAAATCACCATTTTAAGATAAAAATACAGGATAATGTATGGCAAGATCCAGCACATTTGAAAGACAGGTTACCATTCTCCCTGTAAATGTAACTAGCTGACATATTTATTAAAAAAAAAAACATAAGAAACTGAAGCTTTAATTCTTCTAAAGGGGATCCAGTCATCACTACCCAAAGAAGCAACATGCGCATATGCACAGGGCTCAGGCAATTGACCAAGGCCAGCATTCTGTACAAGCTAATTTGGTTACAGGCCAGTATAAACCACAATGCCTCAATGTGTGGGGTTCTGTGGTAGGAGCGGAGAAACGCAATATGGCCCTGATCTTCTTGTAGAGGGGTGCTCACTATAGAGATGGATACTCACTATATGAACTACAACACTGTGCCACAACTGAGAAATGAGCCCACATCAGGATTTTATTAAGTATTATATGCAATTACTAATTTTATCTGTGTATATACATATTGGTAGTAATAGGCTTATTATAATCTACTTTTAAGGCACACCCACCACAAGCTATTGTTCAGAATCGAGGGGCCTGCAGCAGTCCCGTACAAAAGAAAACACCCATTTTCAAGAATCAGGAGCACATTACGAAAACCTGAACTGTAAGGTTGATAATGTATAAAAACAGTAGTCAAGAATTCCCTTGAATTTCTGATCCTCAACCCTGCCCCTCCCTCTCTGGTGCTGGGATTATAAGCATGCCCCACCAACCCAGTTTATGCAGTGCTGGGCAAGCCCTCTACCAAATGACTTACATCCCCAGAGGCTCACTGTAATTTCTAGATTATGAATTACTCCTTTCACCTATATATAAACTCCTTCCTATATGAATTTTAAAAGTAGAATGAAAATTTAAACATAAAGCTTATCCTGAGATTTTTCTGATGACATCTCTATTTCCAAAAAATTGGGTATATTGAAAACTAACTCCTATTCTATAACTAAATCCAATAATTTGTTTCATTAAAAACTGCAAATGGTTTCAGAATGAACAGCAGGTAAACCTGTCAAACACATGTTACAGTCAGATGCTTAATACAACCAATCTCCATAACATAACAATAATAATACACCGCCAGGATTCTAACCTGTGGCCCTAAAGTTACCAAGATGATGGAGCTGCTGAAGACAGAAGCTCGAGATAAAGGGGAAACCGCTCATTCTGGCTCACTCACTTCATGAAGATACGGAGTTTGGTTTTCTTGTTGTTGTTTGGTTTTTGAGACGGGGCTTCTCTATCAGCCCTGGCTGTCCTGGAACTCATTCTGTAGACCTGGCTGGCCTCAAACTCAAGATCTGCCTGCATCTGCCTCCCAAGTGCAGGGACTAAAGGTGTATGCTATACTGCCCAGCAGGTTATGGGTTTTTTGATCGTTTTCTATAATAAAAGACAGGGAATTATTTGGGACTGAAAACGGACTATATCTAGGCAGGATGAGCTCTGGTGAATTTTTTCTTCTTTAACAAAAATGACCTTTTATCTTTTCTTTCCTAGGTTGAAATTAATGTTTACGTGAAAAATAAAGAAATATTCACACTATTAACTTTTCATGAAGTGTGAACAAGGAAATATCAACACTGTTTTACTGATGAAAGAACCGAGCTGTGATGGAGTCAATATTCATAACTCACACATCCTCAAACGCCCACACCTGCATCTCATTTCAAACCTACAGAAAAAGCAAGCGAACACTTTTGGTGAAGGATATCAGCAGTTATATCAAATGTGATGAATCCCAGGTCGCTTCTTTCTCGAGGGCCAGTGAAGTCTTCTACGTTTTTTCTAGAAGTAAAGATAAAGGTTTCACCATCTCTTCAGGGCATCACACAAAATTTACACCACTTAAACCTGCAAGGGTTAGCAGTGTGCATCAGTAAAATATAAACCTCAGGAAGAAATGGGTTGGGTAAAAGAGAAACTGTAAGTGTAAAAGTAATTAAGTACTATAATTCAATATTAAAAAGGTACTCCGCTATTTTCATTTGCCCGAAGAGAACTTTTGAGAAAATCCAGCAGAAGATAAAACATAAAAAGAAAACACAAATACTTCATGGAGAGCAGGTAAGAAGAGTGAATTTGAGAGCTGTGAGCAGCCACAAGGTGACCTGGGAAACAACCCCTGTTCATGAGAGCACAGCATATGGCAGAGCCACCATACTCCTCACAACTATCCTAAATCCGTACAACAATCCTACCAGTTACTTTCTTTGTTAGCAACAAAAATTAACAAGCAGGAGAGCAAGAAACCTATTTAAGGTCACATCAACGCTTAACTCGCTTCAAGTTCATCTATGCCCTCACAGAACTGAAAGTAACGGTGGCGCTGGTATCTAAACCACACTTCTTTTCATCATCAACAGTATCGAATAAAATCAATACAGACTAAATGAGAGAAAAAAAATATCAGCAGCTGCAGTAATCGAAGGGCGGGGACACTTGTGATTCTGACCAAAAATACATAAACTAAGGGAAGGACAGATTATAGAAGACCGCAAACAGCAAACACGAATTAAAAACACTTATTAATTACAGAAGTGAAAGAAAAAAGAGGGGAATGCTATAAATAAAACAGGTAGCACGGGGAGGGCAGTCACCCTGACATTCTATTTTTAGTGTCTCCAAACATTTATCCAGTTTGCTGGCTAAAAGAATGGCAATTAAAGTAACGAGAAAGCACTGAATCCAAAGGCTGGGGTGTTTAAACCGCCTAGTGCAACCTGTCTAGATTCACATCCACACTTCAAGGCAGTGGCGGTGTGTCCAGAAGGAGAAAGGCGCCCTAAAGTCACTGTCAAAAAAACCCAACTGTGTGGGGCCGGTGACACCAGAGCCACCCACTGAACCGCCTGAGCCTCGGGCTGGCAAGGGGTGACACCGGCGACCCCACGCGTGCTGGCAGGCGGGGACGCGCCTGGCGGAAGCGCGGGTGTGGGTGTGCTGGTGTGTTGCTCGCTCATTGGCCAGCGTGGGTGAGGGACGTGAAGAACAGGAAGGAAGGGCAGCGCCGACCCAGGCCACTCGGGAGCTGACCGCGCAGGGCTGGGGGGTCCCAAGGCCACCGGGCCCCGTGTCCCCCGCGGTGGCGGAGCCTGCAGGGACAGGCCCGGGCCGGCGCGCACACCCCAGCCCAGCCCCGGCAGCCCCGGCAGCCCCGCCCGGCCGCACTCACAGCATGATCCGCGAGACGTGCAGCCGCACCGGGACGCTCCGGTCTTTGAAGGCGGTGGTGATGAAGCAGCCGAAGGTGAGCGCCGCCATCACGCTCAGCGAGAAGGCGAAGAGCGAGTTCGCGCGCGACAGCACGGTGTTCATCGTGACGCCCTTCCCTCAGGAGCCCTGCCGCCGACGCCCGTCCCCAGGCTCCGCTTCCCCGCCGCCCCGCTGCCGACCAGTCCCTCCCACCCGCGCACCCGGTGCGCACCTTCCGGGAGCGCGCGCCGCCGCCGCCCAGCCCCGCCCCCTTTCCGGTGCTCGGCACCTTCCGGGAGCGCGCACGCTCCCCCCCTCACCCGCTAGGACACACCCACCGCGCGGCCGGGCACGCGCTTGGGGGGGCGGTGCTCTCAGTCACTCCGCCAATCAGCGGTGAGCACTGGGGTTGGCTTTTGCCACAGGGGTCCCGCCTCCTCCTGGGCACACGTCCTTGCTTGGTTCCTGAATCTGTGGAGCGCGCCCATTTGCCTGTTGGCCCTCAGCTGTGTTTTGGGGGACTGCCCCGCCTTAACTATACTTGTGACATCCACTTTCAAAACGCGTGGTCCTAGTTCCCATCCAGCAAAGCTGTCAAATTGCGACGTTTTTGTAAAGGAGAAAAAATTAAGTCATTCAATGTGGATGCACACAGAAGTGTGGCTTCTGACAACTCATGCCCCTAAATAGCAATAAGGAGCACCAGCCTTGGTGGGCCTTAGCTGTCGGCCACCCAGCCTTAATATATTTCCTCTTGCTCTGCTTGCAACGAAGAATGGAAGTTCTGCTCACGTTGTGTGTGTTCATACCACAATTCCAAATATTTTTCACTTAACCAAAATAGGTAAAGAACATGTAGACCATGAAAGGTGTCAATGAGAAGCTGATATAAGTGGAACTCCTTTTAGTCAGTTTCATACAGCACACGGGCAGGATTTTTAAGAATTGCCTAGCACGTGACAGAAACAGTTCTAGGCTCTGAATGGAGATTGCCACACGAATAAGCCCCGCCTCAAACAGAATAGTGTCAAGAAATGAAATCTGTAGTAACTATAGTCTGAAAGGTGTTTAGTCTGTTAAAACCTTGAATTTTTTACTCTCCCGGGTAACCACACTTTATTCAATAAAGCAAGGTTCTAATAAATGCTGTGTTCAAGTGACACACAAATGTGTATTGATCACTTTCTACCCCACTGGGGGTTATAATCGAGTAAAGTTATCAAAATCAGTGCTGCAGTCTAGATTATAAAAGCAGGTATGAATATTGAGAGAGGCCACATAGCGCTACAGACTTAAAATAAGAAGTTATATATGTGGTGAGGTGGAGCAAAACTACATGAAAAATTTTTAAAGCCTTCCTACAGGTTGCCTTATATTATCACTGTAGAATAACATAGAGAAAGATGCCTGCTGTGACAGATGATGAGGGCCAAGATAAATGCCACACTGGACATAACTTCAGCATATAAGAGACCTCAAAGCCTGTGTCCTCAGCGACACTTTTCCTCCAATAAGGCCACACCTCCTAATAGTGCCATTCCTTGTGGGCCAAACTTTCAGATACATGAATCTACGGGGCCATATCGGTTTAAACTATCACAACCAACAATATGTTGTTACTATGACAGGGATTGGAGCAGCATTTATTGCAAATGGGAAGGTAAAGAGAGATCTCAGAAGCAATCTGTTGTCTTCAGAGAAAATGTCAGAAGAGGAAGCCAGCCTAAGACTAAACAGTGTAAGCACGGGATTTGATAACTATTGCTAGTCAAATGTCCTTAATCCACATCTTACATAATTTAAACATGCAGTAGTTTTGTGGCACAGTGAAAAACGGGTATGATCATAGCATGTTCATTGATATAAAATAACAATGTTTATCTGACATATTTTGGAAGCCAAAAAGATAGTCTAAGGAAAGAGTAGGGGTGAATGTTGGCTGCATGATCTATCTGTATATTACTATCAGTCTTTTAAAGTTAATTTTTATATATTGACCATTTTTAGTCGTCTTGCTGTCTCCTTTCCTAATGTATTTTCAGGTGCTGACTAACTTGCTAATTTGATAGAAATCACAAAATGAGAAATATTTGTTGATGACTGTCACTGCTGCCTAAAATCCCAAATGATTTAATGGTTTCAATAATTGGATGCATTTTTTAGATGATACAGTATAACAGTTAAGTTACATTTTAATTTTATTCAGCATTATATTCAGCATTCAGGCCTCAAGATGCTTTTGTTGAGTTTGTTAAGAATAGTAAAGGAATGTGTTTTCATGATTTGAGACTGATGCACACACATATAAACAGGTAAAAACAAGTCTCATTTAGCAAAATTAATGCCCTACAATTAGACGTGTATATTATTAAATGGGAAAAGCCGAACAACCATTTTCAATTCAGTTACCTTTGTTAAAGAGTAAGGAATCTCACTGAACCACTGAAACATGCGACATTTTCATCTTATGTCTTATTTATTTACCCTCCCGGATCATTATGCCAGGTGTTTCTGTCACCACATAATATAACTTTGCTAAGGATGTGGATTGTAGAGAAGATAATCCATTGCAATGGAAGTGGAAAAATAATGGGGAAATGTTCTATTGCTAGTCTGTAGATTCAAACCGATCCTTCCACTACTGAAGATGCTAGTAGGCAACTCTATTTAGAAAGAGCTATTCCTACACATGTCCCATGAAAAGCTCATTGGCTGGCTTTTCTTGGACTATTTAAAGAACTTATATACATTTAAAGTAACGTTTTGTTACTAGGATAAGTCACATTGCGATTTTGTACTCTGCAACCATTTCCCTTCTTGTTGCCCTTTGCATGAAGTGAATTATGTGATAGGCAGGTGTTGAGAGGAAAGTGTGGCCATAGCTCAGCTGCTCTATTCTATGTTTTACCTCTTAGAAACTAGGTTCTCACAAGGAAGGAGGGATTCATCGTAGCAGTCTGGCTTTGTTTCAGGAGGGCAACTACAATCCTTATAATGTCTGTCTTAGGGCTTTATTGTTGTGAAGAGGCAACACTGCAACTCTTATAAAGGACAACATTTAATTGGGGCTGGCTTACAGTTCAGAGGTTTAGTTCATTGTCATCATTGTGGGAAGCATGATGTCACATGGAAGTCATGGTGCTGGTGAGGTAGCCTATAGCTCGATATTCAGATTTGTATGCAGCAGGAAGAGAGTGCCACTGGGCCTGGCTTGGGTTTCTGAAACCAAAAAGCCCACCCCAGTAGCCATACCTACTCCAAAAAGGTCACACTTCCAATAGTGCCACTCCCTGTGAGCCTATGGGGGCCATTTTCATTCAGAGCACTACAAGGGCCGATATTATTGGTAACAAAGGTGAAATTTTGATTCTCATTTTCAGTTTTTTTTCTTTCTGTGGAAGGATGAAAATGTTGATACTGGGTTCCTTCAAGACTTCATTGTTTTGTTGCATTGGCCAAGATCATAGAGAAATAAATGATCAAGTATTTAACATAGTGGGAATGTACCAAGACTGAGCTCTGGCCTCAGACTTTCTTGTGTGGAGAGTGCATATTAGAGCCTGTACCAGAGCTGACTTAGTCCATAGCCATAGTAGGCATAGAGACTAAGTTTGGAGATGAGTTTGGGATGCACAGAAATGTTTTCGTTTCTTTAATTTTTGAAGAATAAAAAGAAGAAACGCATGTAACCCTGCTTGTATTTGTTTTCATACCAATGCAATCAGATCATATTTTGTTTTTAAAATATTTTGATTTTTTTTTTTAGGTCTTTAAATAGTCCAAGAAAAAACAGCCAGAACAGGAGCTTTGAATGCATGTGTAGGAGCAGTTTTGCTGGCTCAGAATTGAGAGTTCATGTTTGGTTTTGTTTCTGGAGTTGATCTCTCTATTCACATGATCTTAAAAGCAGTTTGACTGACTTCTATCCTTTTACTTTCTTTGACAAAAGAAGTTTTATAAATAGAGTTTCCTACTGGAATCTTCAGTAGTAGAAGGACCTGTTTGGATTTACACAATAGCAATGGAATTTTTTCCCCATTATTTTTCCACTTCTTTTACAATGGGTTATCTTCTCTACAATTCAAATCCTTTATAATAAACTGGTGTTTTAACAGTTTGGTAGCATTTTAATTGTTTTAATGACAAGAGCTCCTAAAGGCAGAAAAGATAAATATCCACCAAAATTATACTGCCACTCTGCTTAATGGTCTGTGAAAAAATTTAATTATGCTTGTCAGCTCTTCACCACGGTCCAGTTGGTTTTAAATTGCTCTGAACTAATTTAAGTTGGTATAAGCCACTAATGGTCATTCTGTTGTGTCAACAGGTTAGCAGCTGCTCTTCATGAAGCTAGAATGGCTCATGTGAGGTGCTCTCAGCATATCCTCTGTCACAGAATCTGGATAGTCAATGGATGTTTTTGTCTCTTGTTGTCATTAAGGTACTTCCACTTATGTAAATAGCAGTAAGTTAATTTTTTTTTATAAGTAGACATCATCATTTTTACTTAGTACTTTTAAAAGCAATAAAGTCAGGTGAGATGCTTTAAAATGATACCAAACAAAATATTGTACAAATATTCCTCCTTGCAAATCCACAAGATAATAGTTATCCCTCTATATAGGTGAAAATTCAGGATTAGAGAGACTAAAGGATTTGTCCAGGTACACTAACTTATAAGTAGAGGAAATGGAACTTTTTATTTGTTCTTTTTAAAAATTGAGATGTGTCTATTATTTATTATGTCCTTATAATTTTTGTATGTGTGGATGCATGGCCATATGTATGCACGTACATGTGGGTTAACATGTGTATGTGTATTGATGTACATACACGTGGGGGGTGAGCATCTGTGTGTGTGTCCTCTCATGCACCTATCAAGCCCAAAGTAAATGTCAAGTGACTTCTCTGATTGCATTCCACTTCATTTTTTTAGGCAGGTATATTGATGACCCAGGAGGTCACTGATATAGCTGGCAGCAAGCCCCAAGAATCCTCCTGCTCCATTCCTGGACTGAGTTTAGAGACATGCACCTCTTTAAAAAAAAAAAAAAAAAAAAAAGTAGATTCTACAGATCCAAGATTCAAACTCATGTCCTCCTGGTTGTATATCATGGATTTACTGACTTCATCATCTACCCTCCTTGTCCTGGACATTTCTTTCTAATTGTAACCAGGTAGGGGTTACAATCACTGCCTGCTCTTCCAAAGGTCCTGAATTCAATTCCCAGCAACCATATGGTGGCTCACAACCCTCTGTAATGAGGTCTGAGGAAGAGATCTGGTCAGTCGTCCTCATCAACTTAGACCATGAAACCCAATATGGACGGGTACATCAGAAACTGCCATATATGGGGTGCCCATGGTAAAAAAAAAAAAATAGGTACTTATCAAAGTATATGCTTTGGCTTTAAATTGACCCTACAGATTTCATTTTCTTCTTTTACCTTTGACTTCAGTTTACTCATTGACTGGAATATGGTTGCAATGTTTAACAAAAATCATGTTGTTGCCACCAATCTTATTTTCATCAACATTATCACATCATCAGGTAGGATTTGGCAGCACCATAACTTTGCAGAGCCATAACTTAATGGCTTCAAAATATATGATGTCAGAAGGCAAATGGCATCTTGAAACCCATAGCATCTTCTTTATTCCCGATATGTCCAAAGTGTTGCTTAACTTTGTCTCAGAGTCGAGGAAAGCTAAAATAAATAAAAATATTCATGATGATGACATTTCTTTGAAGCTCTAGATAGGTAGCCTTTCTTATCACCGAGAAAACAGTATGTGGTGGTTTGAATGAAGGTAGCCCCAAAGTCTTATATATTTACATATCTAGTCCTCAGCTGGTAAGTGTTTGAGAAGGATTAGGAGGTGTGACCTTGTTGGAGAAGGAGTGGACTTGTTGAAGGAGGTGTGTCACTTGGGGGTGGGCTTTGAGGTTGCAATAGCTCATTCCAGGCCCAGAGTATCTCTCTCTCTTCACCTATTACCTGTGCATTGGGATGTAAAGCTCTAAGATAGTGGTCCACTACCACCTCTGTCTGCTTTCCACTCTAGTAGGAATGGATTAAATCCCTGAAACTATAAGCCAGCTCTCTATTAAATGCATTCTTTTGTAGGACTTGCTATGGTTATAGTGGGTCTTTATAACAATAGAATTTTAATTAAGAAATGGTGTATCATTTGTTTTATGTTTAGCATTGCTTATGAGTTCTGTAAGAAATGGATACACATCCAACACTACAAGTAGGAAAATGCAGGTCTTGAACTTTAGTTTTTACTTCCCCAGGTAAGAATTTTAATCTAATTTTAGAGAATAATCAGATATTCACAGTCTTTTCCACCTTATTAAACTCAATAAAGGGAAGATGAAGCCAGCTTATTTTCCCTGAAATAATCATGTAAAAGAATTAACTTTTACTTCTTTTTAGCTAAGTGAGATGGGTTAAAGGAGAAACAAATTAATCAGATATTTTGTACACCCTCACATGGCTGACATCATCCCAATTCCAGGTTTATTTTACTTACTTTCCATATAGTAGCTGTTAATAGTTAGATTTACATTTATTCTTAAAGATTTATTTTTATTTATGTGTGTGCATGTGTCTGTGTGTGAGTGTGTGTGAGTGTATGCATGTGTTTGAGTGCCCACAGAGCCCAGAAGAGAGTGTCTGATGCCCCAGTGTTGGACTTATAGGCAGTCATTAGTCACACAATGTGTGTGCTATGAACTGAACTGGGATCTGCTGCAAAAGCAGGGAGTTCACCTAACCACTGTGCTCTTTCTCCAGCTGTGTTAACATTTATAAATGTTATAAATGGCCCTTTGACTGTCTTCCTATTTTCAGTCCAGAGGTACCAGAGATTAGCGGATGCCAGTCAGAGGTTGATGGTGGTGGAACACTGGAAGGTGACCCCTGAGCCTCCACGGACTTGGTTTTGCTCGTTTTCTGTCACACTGGAATGAGGAAGGAGCGTGCAAAGAATACAGAGCTGACTGACTGCAAATCACGGTGGGAAGGTGATACACACTAGTGCTGTTCTTACTAAGAAACGAGTACTAGGTCCATAAATCTGATGACAATATGTTTAAGCTATGATTCCCCCCTCCAAATTCATAATTGATGCTAAAATTAAACTTAAAAGCACTCCAGGCAAATTTTCTGTTGCCAAAGAAACTACAACAAAGTGCTAACCAGAATCATCCAAATATACCAATTTTAATAGCCAATTGGTCACATTCTAGGTTAACTATGTATTTTATTTCAGGAATGATGTGGGAGTGGTTTCTTATTAATAAAGAAACTGCCTTGGCCCATTTTATTGGATAGAAAATTAGGTAGGTGGAGTATACAGAAGAGAATTCTGGGAGAAAGAAGCTTAGAGAGTCGCCATGATTCTCCTGCTCCAGACAGACGCAGGTTAAGATCCTCCCTGGTAAGCCAGCTCGTGGGCTACACAGAATATTAGAAATGGGTTAGAACAATATGTAAGAGCTAGCCAGTAAGAGGCTACAGATAATGGGCCAAGCAGTGTTTGAAAGAATACAGTTTCCGTGTAATTATTTCGGGCATAAGCTAGCCATGCGGGCGGCCGGGTGC